TGAACTTTAATATCGTATGTAAGACTAGGCTTTGAAATTTAATATCGTAAGTAAGACTAGGCTTTGAACTTTAATATCGTAAGTAAGACTAGGCTTTGAACGTTAATATCGTAAGTAAGACTAGGGTTTGAACTTTAAAATCGTAAGTAAGACTAGGGTTTGAACTTTAATATCGTAATTAAGACTAGGGTTTGAACTTTAAAATCGTAAGTAAGACTAGGGTTTGAACTTTAAGATCGTAATTAAGACTAGGGTTTGAACTTTGTTCAAAGCCTAGTCTTACTTACGATTTTTTTAATATCGTAAGTAAGACTAGGCTTTGAACTTTAATATCATTGATGGGTTATTGTATACCATATCATTAGTGGTAAATAGACCTAACCTGTTTCTTACGTTATTTCTTTGTGTTCATTGATGGGTTATTGTATACCATATCATTAGTGGTAAATAGACCTAACCTGTTTCTTACGTTATTTCTTTGTGTGTCATTGATGGGTTATTGTTAATTGCTTTCAGGTTTTTAGTTTCCTAATTTTTACTGAAGAATGAATGAGCTGGATAGTCTACGTCAAGAGGCAGAAACATTAAAGAATGCTATCAGAGTAAGTACGAACATTTTATGTAAGGAAGAAAGAGAGATAAATTATTCGTGTTATGCTTAAATGGAGAATGGTACAGCCACTGTATAAGGTGAAAATAAATGACATGCTACAAAAACATTCTGTAAAATATACATAGTTGTTACTTATTTTTACATCAGAAAGTTTAATATACTGGAGTAACCATAAGAATCCTTGTACCATTCCACTATAATCACCAATATAGATGGCGATGCTAATCATCTTTATGGAAATTTGGATGAATCACAGACCGAATTCACAACAATAACTTGTAAAATAGGCCTAACCCCAGCAAAGTTTTTTTGTCCCTTCATGTTTGGTAGTGTGGTGTAGTGTTTTCTCGAATATCAGACTGCAAAAAAAATCACACACAAAATTTTCGTAGGCGTGAGAAATCTTTCTTTTTTTTTATTTGGATATATGGAAAAAACTTCAGTCTTTAAGTGTTATTAGGAGCATTTGAGAATATGTCGTACACAAATTAGTTTAAATAAAATTGAGCACTGAACAGCCATTAAAAGTTAAAAAAAAGAATGTTTCATATATGCACAGCGGATATATTTTTTCTTTACCTTGACAAAGTTGGATGCAGTGAACCACCTCTGTCAGATTGGAAAATGAAGTTATTTATTCTATCATCATGGTATACTATTACAAAATCTCAGCACAATTTATTTCAGAGAGTACGTTTTTCAACTTTCATGTAAAGCATTTTAGTTAAGCGTACTTGCTGTAAGATACGCTTATTATTATTATGTTTACAAAACATCAATGATCTTTAAAAAATTGCCCCTACAGAAGCTTTGATTATTATACTGAAGTGTGAACATACTGTAGGATATCCTCTATAAATTTACTTTTTTCCATAACTGAATTTTAAATTGCCCCTACAGAAGCTTTGATTATTATACTGAAGTGTGAACATACTGAAGGATATCCTCTATAAATTTACTTTTTTCCATAACTGAATTTTAAATTGCCCCTACAGAAGCTTTGATTATTATACTGAAGTGTGAACATACTGTAGGATATCCTCTATAAATTTACTTTTTTTCATAACTGAATTTTAAATTGCCCCTACAGAAGCTTTGATTATTATACAGAAGTGTGAACAAACTGTAGGATATCCTCTATAAATTTACTTGTTTCTGTAACTGAATTTTAAATTGCCCCTTCAAAAGCTTTGATTATTATACTGAAGTGTGAACATACTGTAGGATATCCTCTATAAATTTACTTTTTTCTGTAACTGAATTGAAATCTTACTTTCATGCATAGGTCATTTGTGGCGTTAATGGAAAAAAAATCATTTCGCACATAACCACTTATAAAGGTGTCTCCAATGAACTTGCATGTATATCTTATTGTATACATTGTATAAAATACTTTATGAGATTATGTACCTTGAATTTCCACAATTGTAACTCATGCTATCTTGGACTATAAAGTTAATGACAAGTTCTTTCTTGAAATACTTGAATTTTTATCATTGGCATTAAAAACAGACAATTTGTATGCATAAGTTAGATAAAATTCTAGTATAAATACTGTGTAGTGTAAATAAGTATAACAGTGCATTATATGTACTTATTGATATTGATTAGAAATATACAAATTATAAAGCATTCATTTTGGGGGTTGACCAATGAGATCTCTCTTGGTATCAACACTTGAACTGAGCAGGTTAATTCCCTTTTAGTGTAATTAGTATCTTTATCTGTGTGATCATTTTGGTATTTTAGTAAATTGTACGTTCTGTAATTGAGGTAAATGTGTGGTTGGTGTGTTAATTAAGAGCTGGTTTCTTAGTCTACTGATAAGGGTGGACTGATGGATTAATCCACTAGCAAGTGTCTTATATTATCACACACTTTGGATTCCGTGATCCCCCCCCCCCTAATACACTTCTCCAGAGTGATTGGCGTCATAACCTACAAGTAACTATGCGATTGGTTCTTTTATCCACTTACAACTGTATGATTGGTTCTTTTATCCACTTACAACTATGTGATCGGTTCTTTAATCCACAAGTAACTTTGACTAAGTCCATAGTATCAGTGAATCACTAGTGGATATGTGATTGATACATTTGTAACTGTGTATTTCTTCCTTAATCCACTGGTTTCTTCAGTGTCATTGTTAACTTGAGCATCTGCATGAAGGAGCATTTGCCCCCCCCACACCCCCCCTCTTGTAAATTTTTGTTTAGGAATTTACTCAATGAATCTGTCTTTCTGTTTGTTATTCTTTCGTTCTGCTGAACCAGAAAACATTGTAATAAATTAATCAGTAACTTAGTTACAATTTTGAACTATAATAATGAAAGTCATTTTCTAGACTGTAAAATGCAGAATTCAAATAAATCCTGTTTAAAAAAATCCGACAAAAAAATTACTTAGATTCACGTGAACACTGAACGGTGGTTTATACAGATAAACTGTGTACATCGTGAAGTATGAGCCGAACTCCCTAGTCATCCTTTATTATCTGTAGGTCTTACAAACTATTATTTAGTATTCCAACCAGAGCGTCTTTGTTTGCTGTGTAAATAGTTTTTGACGTTGAAATGCGTGGAGAACCAATTCGAACTCGTGCTACGTGTAGTGTTACGGAAATGCTCGTGTAGTTTACATCCGGTCCTTATTAAGTGACGTTTAATATTTGTGAGATAATTTTTTTTATATATTTTATATACAAAGAAATATTTCAAACATTTGAACTCGCTGTCATACTGTAAGAAATGTAAACCTAAATGTATACAATATAGTGGTTACTTGAAACTCTGGGCATGGCCAGGTGGCTAGGGGGCGCTCGACTCGCAATCTGGGGGTTGGGGGTTCGAATCTCCGTCACACCAAACATGCTCGCTCTTTCAGCCGTAGGGGCGTCATAATGTGACAGTCAATTCTGTGGTAAAAGAGTAACCCAAGAGTTGGCGGTGGGTGGTGATGACTAGCTGTCTTTCCCTCTCGTCTTACACTGCTAAATTAGAGACGGCTAACGCAGATAGCCCTCGTGTAGCTTTGCGCGAAAATCAAAACAAACGAACAATACTTGAAACTCACAATTAGTTTAGTACGGGTGTCTAATGTAAGCGCAAACTTTATTGCTCACTCAAAAAGACCAACCATCTAAAGCACTTCATATTAACATAACTTCAAAATGTATTTTGCTTTGTAGCTACTTGTATGGTTTCTCCATAACATACAAGTGTTTTTGTTTTGGCAATAATCAAAAGATCTTCGTATAATAAGGTAGTATATTTGACATCAATTTCAAGGCTTCTATTGTCAACAATTGGAGCCACTGCGTGTCTTTCAAACACTATTTATTAAGCGGAAATTGACACGTGCATGGCATGCTTACACAGCTGTGAAATTGTTTTATGCCCTCGAACTACTTTCTAGCGTACACGTTCAATATTAATAACTTTGAAAGCTACTTTTTGCCAAGACGTCTTGGTCAAGGGCGGATTTAAGGTCAGCTAAAGCTGACCGTGCCCCCTCTTTAGGCCAAGCGACTTGATATATATATCCTTATATTATTATCATATGTATATATTATATTTTTTTGATAATTTTACCTTTCAGATACTATTTAGCCATGTTTTTTAGAAATAAATTACTTTAACTATATTTTATTTCACTTTATTTATTAATTCTATCAATTTATTCAGGTATCTGTTGACATTATTTGCTTTCGCTTGATGTATGTATAATATTGGTATGAATAGAGCCCGCCGGGCTGACTGGGTGTTTAGGCTTAAATCCGCCCCTGGTCTTGGTCAATATGTCCTTAAAAACAAAAGGAATAATACTAATATATTAATGTACATATAAATATAGTAAAAAAGGTGTGGATAAAGTATTCATGAGAATAAGTTACGTTAATGTCATGTACTTGTTGAATAGATATCCAGTTCATTGTAGTTAGTCTTGTGTAATTACTCAACGAATTTACGTTTTATAGAGCGACATTTGTTATATATAGTCATGAAATAACCATGAACTTTAACCAATTATCCCCGCCATGCTGAAGACGCGTCTCGTATAATACCAGAGCTCATCAGGCCGGTAGTGATACAAGAAAAATACTAGTGGTCGAACGATTTTTTTACATAAGCCCCTTATTAAAATAAGAATTGTTGTAGTGTGAACCGCCAAGTGTAATTAGTCAATTGTGTCATTAGTATTATGCTTTTTTTTAAAATACTGTATTATCTATTCAATCCTTTGGAGCATTTACGACGAGAAGCCTGTATAATAGTATTTCAAGCACACTATGTCTTCCATAGCCATTCCCAATGATGCTTTTCGCCCAATACTAAAGCTTATGAGGCTGGCTGTGGTGCTTAAAAATAAATCTGATGTTATTGTCTTATGTCATAATCACGATTCGACAGCTTTAAAAAAAAAGGCGTTTACACCATAACAATTGATAATTGTTGCCTGTGAGGAAATTCATTGTAATATTTATTTACTTCATTGCTTTAAAGCTTAGGTTATCATGTACAATAATGCGTTGTCATGGGTATCGAATAACACTCAATAACATTTTCTAGCTAAACATTGAATCTGCGACCTTGTTCGTAATTCTGATGCGTAGTCTAACTTACGATATTAAAGTTCAAAGCCTAGTCTTACTTACGATATTAAAGTTCAAAGCCTAGTCTTAAGTACGATTTTAAAGTTCAAACCCTAGTCTTACTTACGATATTAACGTTCAAAGCCTAGTCTTACTTACGATATATCATTAGTGGTAAATAGACCTAACCTGTTTCTTACGTTATTTCTTTGTGTGTTCACTGAATCTCCTTCACGAACTGAGTGTGAGAGCCTAGGTGCATTACAAAAAAGATGTAACCAGCACCCAACAGAAATCATTCTTTCAAAGCTGTCACTAAAATGCGTTGGGTGTTATAAGCAGTAAATTGTCGCATAAAATAATGGAAGGTATTGGACACGCTGTCGGTCTTTCCTCGT